AAAAAAAGGAGACAATGAGGATTTAAATGATACTTTACTGCAGGATTTCGAGAAGCAATGTCAAGAAAACAAGAATCAATGTGTCCCATGTTAGAGTGCCCTAGGATTGGGCAATGTTGCACCCGTCAAACTCTTAGTAGGGTCTAGTACAGGACATATTCAAAAAAAAAAATTAGAATTTAAAATAAGGTTATACAAAAATTTTATAATTAAAGATAAGGTTATATAGTAATTTTTAGTCATTTCTTTACATAAACTTGTCATTGTATTGGGAAAAGCCGTGTCCCTTTATGAAGGAGACTGGGATCAAATCTCATGGGTAAGTTTTATGTTTTTTATATTAATAGCTATTTTAATATTATACAAGTAATTATTCGAAAAAGTTTATTTAAGGATACAACCTTATAATGTAGAACTATTGATGCACCTCAAAAATCCATCAGAAAAGGTAGTTTTAATGTTGAAAAACTCTTTGATTGATCATCTCGACATCGAGATGTATTGCCATAAAAAATAAAAAGATTTTAACTTTCAAAAATAGTGCATTTTACAACATATTATCTACACTGTCAATTTTAAGATTTTCATATGTTTATAGATCGACTTGATTTTAACCATTTTTTAAATTTAAAATTTTATAGTTAAATATAAAATTAAATTTTAAAATAATTCTAAAAACATTTTACATCAACATTTGAAAGTGCACCTTACCTCTACATATACGGATGCATCCGTTTGCCAACTGCACCCTGAATTATTTGCATATTACGTGCACATACGCACTGTTTGAGTGCCAGTAGACTTTACCACTCCCTTCAACGCATCATGACTTGGGATAAAAATGTCCACTCTACCATGTTAACCATGAGCCTTGCAGTAAAAAAAATAACGACATTTCTATATAAAGCGTTGAGACCAATGGTTTAAAAAACGGATCGGTGATCCGGATCGGGTTTCCAAAAAACCGATCTGGATCGGCGAATCGGCGATTCGGATCGGGAATCGGGTGAATCGGTCATAATAAAGCTTAAAAAAAATTCGAAAAAATTATTAAAATTCATTATAAATATTGTTTTTTAGGAATTCAATAAAAAATGAGGGTACTCCATTAAGAATTTTCATGTTTTTGAATGAATATGCGAATATTGATATGTTCTTTCCCTGCATGAACTGCCATTCAGCATTTAATTTACAGTATTTCGTGCTCATCCCTACACTGTTGCTGTTGGAACTCGATATGTGAATAATATGGCTGGGATAGGGC